GGTGGAGAGCTCGTGGGTGAAAATCAAGGATCGGTCCGGTAAAGGACTGGTGGTTGGGGTCTGCTACAGCCCACCTGATGAGTATGTTGGCGAGGTCTTCTTGCTTCAGCTACAACTGTTGTGCTCACAAGCTCTTGTCCTGAGGAGGATTTCAACCACCCAGATATCTGCTGGGATAGCGGCACGGCGGTTTCCAGACAATCCAGGAGACACCTGGAGTGTGTTGAGGATAACGTCCTGGTCCAGGTAATCGACGGACCGACACGAGGTGTAACCTTACTAGCCTTGGTGCTCACCAGTGTGGAAGAGAGCTTCACAGAGGTTACGATTGCCTGGTGACGACCACTACCTGGTGGAGTTGGTGACCCTGAGGAATACGGGTCTGACAAAAAGCAGAGTCAGGACCCTGAACTTCCAAAAAGAGGACCCTGAACTTCAGGAGAACAAACTTCTGTCTGCTCAAGGAATTACTGGCTGGGATCCCCCAGGAAACTGTCCCTAAGGCCATAGGAATGGAACACGTGCACGTATATACGTGTATAAATATATATTTCACAGACTAACAAAATTTTGGAATCAGAAGGGAGCTTGAAAAATCATTTTGTCCATATAAAAATAATAATAATAACAATAATAATAAAATGGGGGACAACAAAGTGCAATGTGGTCGATGATCTTCAGATGATATGGAGAACAGCATCCCCAGGTCTGGTCCGTAAGGTTTGGGTCTTGTTCAGCACTAATGTTAGTCAGCACCTCTTCCATCTCAGGTTCCATCCTTAGTCATCAAGCTTCAGTTTTGACCTCAAAACCACAGACGCAAACACTTTAAAAGATTTCTGAAGAGCATCATCCTTCATCAATGAGAGGAGCCGCCAGTGCCCAGCACGGGGAAGGTCCTTTCTCCGCAACCATTCTCAGGAGCTGCCCGCACAGCCTGGGGCTTGCTGCAGATATAAGGCCGGCTCTGCCAACAGCTTGAGGTCGCCATGTCCTCGCCATTCAAGTAGACGCACTCTGCGCTGCCCTGCACCAGGAACCTGCAACGACAAGGAATGTCACTGTCACTCAGCACTTCCCATGCCCTCCAGCAGCAGTGCACGGCCACAGCACACCGGGGCCATCAGGCTCTGCCCGCTCGCAGGACTCACGTCAAATTGAAGCTGCTGCCATCCACCCACAGCAGGTGTTCACCCCGTCTCCGCAGCCCAAGCCAGGAATCCCCGTTGTCTTTGAATTGTCTCAGAAATTGCTGGGTGGCAAGGAGAGAGGCAGACAGTCAGAAGCTGCTGGAGCACCGCGCTCCATCAGCCCCACGGGACTCGCTGCCCCGCTGTGCGACATCCCGCCCGGCTGTCCCAGCCCCACAGCCACCCATCACCCCGCACTCACCAATTCCCAGTCCTGATTCACCACGACCAGCGAGGCCCCGTGTCTCGAGCACTGCTCCTGGCTCCAGCTCCAGTTGCCTTGCTCCTGCTGCCCCGACAGGTAGTAGCAGACGTTGCAGTACCCAACCCATTTGGAAGGGCACGCCAGCACCGGGGCTGTCTCCTGCCCTGGTCTGGTTGCTGCAGAGCAAAGAGGACATTAAATGAGGTTATAGCAAGAGGGAGATCGGGCTCTTCTCCCTCCCAAGTGGTAAGACAAGGGGAGAGTCTCCCAAGCTACACCAGGGGAGGTTGAGGTTGTATATTAGGAGGAATTTCTTTACCAAAGGGGTTTGTGGCTGCCCAGGGAAGTGGTTGAGTCACCATCCCTGGAGGTCTTCAAGACACGGGTAGGTGTAGAACTCAGGAGCATGGTTTAGCGGTGGACTCGTTAAAGGTTGGGCTGGATGATCTCAGAGGGCTTTGCATAGCATGGCTCGGGTTGGGAGGGACCTTACAGATCACCCAGTTGCAACCCCAGCCAGTTCTATAACCCTCTGTGTAGAGGGGTGGGATGGTGGTGGCCACTCTGCCCTTACCTATCAGCGCAACAATGATAAGAAACAGCATCAAGTTCAGGATTATCAGCATATTCCGCTGTCGCTCGGTTGTGCAAACCCTGCCTGCAGCAGAAGGAAAAGATATTTGTGGTGAGGACACTGCCCTCACATCGCCAGCACGACCAGAAGGCCATGCCAGGGGGATCACGGACACCCCTCGACCCCGTTTCCCTCCTCCTTGGCACGGGGTTCACCCCCACAAGTGCTGCAGCAGCAGGAGGACAGCTCAAAACCCAGCTGGGCACTGGCCCTGCACTCACCCAGGCATCTTTGGGACCTGTTGCTGCCTGTGGGTGCAGCATCTGTGGGCATCTCAACAGGGAGGGTCACCACCGTGTCCTGGGAGTCCTGGGGCTGGTCGGGGTCCTCATATTGGGAGGTGAGGCCACTCTGCTCGTCTTGCACCGTAGTGTTCACCGATCCAGGAGTGCTTAGCACGTCAGAAGGCATTGGTGCTGCTAAAAAAAAAAACCAAAACATAGAAGGCAAGGCTCGGATGCGGTTCCCCTCCCCTGCAAGCCCAGCAAGCGGGGTGATGAGGTGGAAAAGCGAGGCTGAAGGAGCGATCCCTGGTTGGCTGCAGACAGCAGCACCACGAGGCTCGGCCCCGTAGCTCCACCAGTGTGCACCCAGCCGTTGAGAAACGCCAAGCATATTGTGCAAGGTGTGTTAAGTATCTTCAGAAAAGGAGAAGTGGGAAGGAGTTTGCAATGTGTGCAAAAAGATTCATGCAGCCATTGAGGTTGAGGTTGAGTGACAGAACAAGTTGAAACGGAACAATTTGGGCAACATGGAGGGTTTTATGGCTGTCTTCAACCACACGCTGCGGCATGTGAGCTCACCTGATGCAGATTTGGCATTGAAAGTGAAGGCAGAGAAGAAGAGGGGAGCAGAAAAAAAAAAGGGGAGCAAAAAAAAAAACAAAAAATCAAACAAACAAACAAAAAAAAAAAAAAAAAAAAAAAAAAAAAAAAAAAAAAAAAAAAAACAAAAAAAAAAAACAATGAAAACACAAAGAAAGGCGAGAAAGAGACAAAGAATTGAAAGAGGGTGGAAAAATGGGAGAGGGGGATTCTCTCTGATTCGTCCCGTCTCTCGGACGGGGGAGAGAATCAGAAAAAATAATAATAAATTAAGCCTGTGGGTTGAGACAGAGACAGTTTATTAGGGCAGCAAAGAAAGGAAAATAAAAATAATAATGGGAATAGCACCACTACTGCTAATGTGTACAAAACAAGCGATCCTCTCAGCGTTCAGGGTCTGAGCAGGGCAGCGGATGAACTCATGCACTGCATATTCCCTCAAGCTAAGCTCAGGACCGTGAGAACAAAAATGTTTTTTTTTCACCAGAATTGGCAACATGGGAAGCAGAGGAAATGCCAGGGAGGTGGGTGGCGTCACAGCTCCGTGAGGGTTGGAAATGGATGAAGAAAAAGAGAAAAGAAGCATTTTGGGGACCTCTGCTGTACGGTTCCCCGTAGCTCCGGGGGCACAGGAGGATGGGGAGAGCACACAGGGCTGATGTGTGTCCTCTGAAGGCATTTGTTTGGGGACCTCCAGATGGATTTAGAGGTGGCTGCATGGAAAAATTCAGAGCCTGTCCTCACCCCTCCAAATATCCCACAAGCGCCCCCCCTGAGCAAGATCTGACTTTCCTCCAGCATTACCACATTTATGTAGATTTTCCTCATCTCTGGGAGGTTTCAGTTCTTCTTTTTCGTCAGGGTGAGTGTTTTTGTAGTCTCCTTTCCCCATGGCTAGCAAGGAAATATCAGGTCCCGCCGATCACGTGTACCCGTCCTGTCCCGATGCCGTGACTGCCGGAGCACCCTGTGATAGCAAGGAGAGGGTTGAGCGTTGGGGGGCCAGCAAAGCCCCCCAGGTGTGTGAGGAGTTTTGGAGATCTGGGGGGAAACGTAGGGAAAAAGTGGGTGGGAAAAGGGTTTGCGGTTTGCAGGAGGGTGAAGGAAGGAAAAGGGGACAGGAAGATGCACGGGGCGGAGGCACCGGAGTGGGGGAGAAAGGAGCAGGGGCAGGCTGAGGAGCTGCAAGAAAATTCACCCAGCACCGCGGCAGCAGCAACTTTCATAAAGAAAAGGAAGAGTTTTGGGAATCGTGAGGTTTTCGAGGCTTTCCTCACCGAGCCACGGCGCTGCGTGCGCCCTTCGGGTGCAAAGTTCATTGAAAGAAGGGAGTGAGCGAGAGGAGAACGAGAAAAAAAAATAAATAAATAAAACACAGCACAAATGCAAAAAGAAAGGCGAGGGAGTGACGAAGAGGGTGGGAAAAGGGGCAAAGGAGCACATAACGAAGTAAATAAATAAACTTAAAGCAATGAAAGAAAAAAAGTTGGGAAGCCCGCCTGGCTGGCTGCTCCTTTCCTTCCCGTTTCAGCCCCGAGCCGAGCGCTGCTCGCTCAGCTGGCCCCGAATTTCGCTGCTCGGAGGCGAACTTACCTTCTGAGTGTCTTCTCCGGTATGGTTGTTGCAATAATTGCGGAGATTAAATAAATCACAAAGGACAGCCCCCGTTACGTAAGCTGTTGCTTTTGCCAATGCCACGGCTACGCCACATATTGAACTAAATGATTAAATAAAAAAAGCAACTCAGATGACTCAAAGTTCACTTGCTGCTTGGAGTTGCCCTCACGATGTAATCCTGGCTGCCAAAAGAGGAAGGGGAGCAAATCTCTGATGTTTTTGATGAAGAAACCCCGTTCATTTGAAACATCCTGTCCGGTGCAGAAGCGAGAGGGGGAGAAATAATGGCGAAAACCTCCAGATGCTGCATTTTTTTTTTTTTTTTTTACTGCTCTGACAAAATGTCCCTGCAAAGGGGTGGATGAGTGTTGCTTCAACTTCCCTTCTGAGGGCAAAACGGTGATTTTGATTTTTTTTGAGGTCTGGTTAGCCCGACCACATATTTTTAGGGCGCATATCCTTTCGGGTGCGTATCCTTTAGGGTGCGTATCCAAATAGCCTTTTTTTTTTTCCCCTCAGAACAGAATTATATTTTTCTTATTTATTTATTTATTTTTATTTTTTTCCTTGAGGGTGGAGAGGGCAAGGGGGGGAGACAGAGCGACGACAACTCCTAGGTGACCACGACGTTTTTTCGCGGCGTGAAAAACCAATCTGTAGCTGTGACTTGCTACAGCGACAGGAGGACAGGAAAAAACAAAGAACAGTGCTTCATTTATATATATTTTTATTATTTTTTTTCAGTTTGGTTTGTTTTTTTCTTTTTTTGCAAGAAAATCCTGGAAGAACAGCCGGAAAACTGTGCACAGGCAGGGGCTGAGCAAAGGCACCTGGCAGAGCAGGGAAGACAACAGGATTAAATGCTGGTGTTAATAAAAAAAATAGAAATAGCTAAATTAATTAATCAATTAAACACTTAGCTGTTTCAAGCATGTGCCTTTTTTACTGGAATCGCAACGAAGCAGTGCCTTGTATCCATCAAAGGGATTTTATCTGGGCTCGCACCAGGATGGGGAAAAACACTAAAAGACACAAAACCACATTTTTTTTTGGCCATGAGATAGCGCAAGACCCGAGCCTCTGCCCCTATCTTCTCATTAGGGATGTAATTTACAGGACGGGCTGTGAGCCTGGGGGAGGCAGGAGGATCTTGTGCCCCTCACCCGGGCACCAGGCGAGGGTGTTGGTGACCCCAAAAACTTTCAGGGCATTGAACGGCCGTGAGCTGTGGCAGGAAGCTCCGGCCCCGCTGCTGGTTCGCACTTCACCGTGCAGCTCTGAGCATTTTGGTTTCCTGTCCTCCGGACCCATTGTGTCCCTCCACCTGCTGTGTGTCCTCCTGCCATGGAGGATGAGGATGGCTACATGGCCTTGGACAGGCGATGCAAGCGGGATGCTGCGGAGAGGCCGGGACCCCTCCGGGACGCAGGTAGCGGGGTCCGGTCCTCCGTCCCCACCACGGGTTTGTGGTGGCGAGAGGATACCTCGGGTGGCGATGCTTGGCGGGGGGAAGAACGGGGTGGTGCAGCTCTTGGGGTCCCAGAGAGTCGCTCAAGCTGGGGAAATTGAGAAGGGGATTTGGGGGGACGCTTGTCTGTGGTTTTTGGACACCCCACGGCACCCGACGCTGGCTGCTGGCGCCCCCGTTTCGCTCCCATCTTGTCACCGTCGGGCTTGGCTGCGTCCCCCAAAACCCTTTTGCTCTGAAGAAGAGGGATTTTGGGGCACAGAGAACAGGGCTGACGGATGCTCTCGGCCCCCCCACTTCTCCTTTTGTGTCCCTTCCCCTGGCTGCAGGCCCTGCCACGAGGGACCCCGAGCCAGGCTTCGCCCCCCGGTGGATTCGCACCCCCATGCGATCCCCCCGCTGCCTCGGGGCCCTGGTGGCTGTTCTGCTGCTGTCCTTTGCGATATGCGGTGAGTCGACACCCCTGGGGCGTCCTTTTTCTGGGGTGCTGGGGCCTGGGGACACCCCCGTTTGGGCTCAGGGTCCCTCTCCCCCAGTGTCTTGGCTGCTGGTGGAGAGGCACCAGGGGGCTGTGGGGTGCGGGAACGCGTCGCAGGGACAAAGTTTTGCCACCCTGGGCTGCACCCACCTGGGGCTGAGGACGAGCTTGTGCCCCCCCGGAGGTAACCCCCTTAAAATATTGCATAAAATATTGTCTGAACCCCGCTACCACCCACCCCGTGGCGCTGTGGTGGGGTTGTTTGCATGGCTGTTTGTCTGTCTGTCCGTCTGTCTGCAGACGGTGGGGGCTGCGAGCTGTGTCCTGTGGGGTGGACGCTGCACAGGAGGAAGTGTTTTTGGGTCACCAGCAAGAGCAGCTCCTGGAGGGAGAGCCGGGAGAATTGCAGCCATCAGAGAGCCCAGCTGCTGGTGCCAGAGGACCAGGGCGAGCTGGTAACGGGGCTGATACTGGCTAGGATGTGGGACGGGGCTCAGGGTTGCACCCGAGGGGATGTGGGGTCCAGAAATTTGGGTCCGCACCCAGGGTGCAGGGATGGGTGCCCAAACCTCTGGGGGGATGCCAGCGGGGCTCCTGGCTGGGTGGGGGAGCCAGTTTTGGGGACAGCAAACAACACCGTAGTCACCAGCCCCGTTTCCTCTCGTAGGACTTCCTAAATCGAGTCATACAGAAACCCACACGCTACTTCTGGATCGGCCTCTCCCAGCCCTCTGTGGGGATGGCTTGGACCTGGCTGGATGGCTCCCGCCTGGACCAGAGCCGGTGAGAGCCTGGGAGAGAAGCCTGGAGGGGATGGATGGGGGGGACACCCCCAACGTCCCCTCAGGGACCCCCGGGAGGTGCCACGGGATCTCTCTCGCACCCTCAGGTTCAACCTGAGCACCCCGAACGCCAGCGGAGCCTGCGGGGCGCTGAGGGAGGACAGGATCATCTCGGAAACCTGCGGCTCCGCCTTGGCGTGGATCTGCCAGAAAGAGGCCGTCCTGCTCTGAGCAACTTGGGAAAAAAATATAAAAAAAATAAAAAAAAAAAAAAAAACACATTTCTTTCAAAATAAAGTCCCTTCTCACCCCTGCGGGCTTTGTGTTGTCTGCTAGGGCTGCCGTATTTTCAGCACGCAGGGGGCATTTTGGAAAGGGATGGCTGGTGTGAAGAGGGGGAGAAATGAGGTTCTGGGGTTTTGGGGGAGGCAGGTGAAAAGGCAGCTTTTTTCTTTTTTCTTTATTTATTCTGCAGGTGGGATGAGCCCTGAAAAATCAGGGTTGCACAAGCTGAGTTTTCATACGATTCCTGGAAAAAAAAAGAAAAAAAAGGCCTTTTTTCTCTCTGTAGCCATTGGCAACCTTCTTCTCGTTGTGGCTGGTGGTTTGCAAGATCGGGCTTGCACAGGCTGACATTTTCACACAGTTTCTGGCAAAAAAGAAATTACAACAATCCCCAGGGGTAAAACCACAATGACTGATTCTCTTGCGGTGAAGACTAGAGGAGGACGTCAGTCATAAAAGCAAAGAAATGCCATGGGGGGAAATGGGAGAGGGGAAGGAGACGGAAAAGGGTGGGGCAAAAAAAAGCCGTATTTGAAGATATTTGTTGCTTTCACTTTTGTAATGATGCCAAGAGTTGCACTGGCGGTGGGCTGTGTGCAAAATAAGTTTAGGATAGAAAAAAAAAGTGAGAAAGGAGCGATTTGGTCAAAAAAGGGGTGGTGTGGGGCAGGCTGCTGGGGAGGGAGGCAGACGCTGCCTCATGACTGCTCGTGAAGAGGATCCCACGCACACCTGGCTGTGGTGAAGCCTAAGTGGCACGTAATGTGGAATATTTCACAAGCAAATGCCCGAAATTGGGGATATTTCCCCCTATTTCAGCCCCCTTGGAGAGGCCTCCGCCATTACAGGGCTGAAGACTACAACTCCCATCATCCCCTGCGCGCGGGACCCGGATACAGGGGTGGGAGCGGAAGCAGCGCGGGAAGCTCAACGTGGACATCAGTGGCACGTGGAGGATGGTGGAGAGGTAGCTGAGGACCCCGGTGCTGTGGTAATGTACCTGCACGAAGGAGCGACGGAGACGAGTAAGCACCAGTCCTGTTTTTGGGATGCCACGGTGCTGCTGGAGGTCATGGCAGGGCTTAGAGCTACATGGGCGTAATTTAATTTAATTAAAATAGCTGGGGTGAGGGGCTAAAGAAGGGAAAGCTGTGAGAGGTATGGGATGGCCTGAGCTGTGGGTGTGGGTGCAATGCTCATATCCAAGCTTGAAGGGGATGGAGGTGATGCAATGAGCTCAGGCAGCCCTAAAAATCCTCGGAAGCCAATGGCAGCCTCTGAACTGAGCCTTTTCCCCGAGATATGTACTTTCTGGGTGTATTTTCAGGTGCTGGAGGGAATAGAGGGGCAGTGGGGAGCTCGGGGGCTCTTGGAGGCACTTGCACCCCGTGTTTGTTGACCGTGCCTCTCCGTGCTCCATTGCTTTGTTCTCCCTCCAGCTTTTAGCCTCAAGTGCCTTAAGGACAAACTGATCCCCATCGGGGCCACCGTGCTCGTGACAGTGTTGCTGATTGCAGTCATTGCCCTGGCAGGTAAGAGGATGGAGATGGCCCTACCAGAATCCTCTCCTCCCCTTTGGAAAACCCAGTGGTGAGGATAGGGCAGAGGCTGGGCATGGGATGCCACGGGAAAACCTGGACGGGGGTAAAATTTGTCCCTAAAGGGGCCAAAACTGCCTTAAAACACTCAGCTCCAGGAGGAAGTTGCAGAAAGACCTTTATGGGGAGTGTTTATTTCAGCCCTAAGTGGCTTCTGGAGCTGAAAATGAATATTTTGAACATGAACAGAAAGGTGAAAACAACAAAAATGAAATGAGAAGTGGAAATGAACATGTTTTTTACGGGATTAGATCTCACAAATCATCACCACCGATTAAAATAAGCAGATTTCATTCTCCTTATTTCCAGCCAGGAAATGTCCGTCCTGCCCCTCTCCCATCCTTCCCACCTGCTCAGGAAACGGCATCGGGTTCAGGGAGAAATGCTTCCACTTTGTGGAGAACGAGACCAACTGGAACGAGAGCCAGAACGTCTGCCTCTCCCTAGGAGCCCAGCTGGCCACCATCGACAGCGAGGAGGACTTGGTAAAATGAGGGGTTTGCCGGGTGCTGGGGTGGCTTTTTGGGAAGCAGCTGTGGGGTTCCTTGGAGGATGTAAGGTGAAGATGGGCACAACATTTCTTCTTTGCTTTCCAGGGCTTCCTATTGCGCTACGGGCGTGCCTTGCATTACTGGGTCGGTCTGCATCAGGAGGGATCCGACCCCTGGAGATGGTGCAATGGGTCTCTTTTCAACAACCGGTACGTCATGGCTTCTTTTCCTCGCATTTTTTAATGGGCTGGGAGCAATTAACCACCCCTTCTTGTAATGCTTGGTCCTTAGGAAGCAGCTTGTGGATGCAGAGGGCATCCCTGGATGAACCCATATGGGATTAATCAACCAAAAATATTCCTTCCTTCATGGAAGGGGGCAGATTTAGCTTTGCATGGGGGTCATTGTCTGCTGGAAAGGATTCTTCCTCCTCCTTCCAGCACCGTTTGCTTATGTGGGAGATGCTCAGCCCCTTGACTTCTCCTTCTGCTACTCTGTGCAGGTTCGATATCCAGGGCAACGGCCAATGTGCCTACATCGACCTGGCTGGGGTCAGCAGTGACTGGTGCTCCCAGCAGAAGTATTTGGTCTGCAGCCACCCCCTGAAGAGTCCCAGGGGAGCGTAGAGGGGAGGAGAGCCCTGAGCTGTCCCTTGCAGCCTCCTACTGCATCCTGAAGTCGCCTCTGAATTTTCACTGTGAAGGTGATGAAGAGAAAGCTGCTGTAATTAAACCCACATGTGTAAGGTTCCTGATGGTAAATTATCTAAAGAAGTGTTACAAATTAATTCTCAACTCAATCTGAATATTTGTAAAAGGAATATTTTTTAAATAAATTTTTATAAAATGTATAAAAGACAAGAAAACATTGCTGGGTGTGTGGGGAGTCTACGCTCCACCAACACGCACACACAAACCTCAAACATTCTAAATATACAGAACATTGCTTTTACATACCAAACGTGTGTATGCCTTTACAATCAGGAAAGGTTCAACAATCCTTTAAGTTCCATGACTTACCAGTCTCTATTTTCCATTCCTTTTCTTGATTACAAACAAGTCTCTTCTTTTCATTCCTTTTGTACAATATGTCTCGCTTTAAGTTGTCAAGCAACTCGGTCTTTGGGCCTTATGTATCCCGTTCTTCCCGGATCGAAGAAAAACATTCCCATCTCCTTTTCAAGGTCAATAGGGCCTGGATCAAAAGGCACGTTCAGGTCAACAGGGAGCAGAACAGCAAAAGCCTTCCATGGCTGTAGCAGCAGAGGGACCGATGCCCTAGCAGTCGGATCAGCAAAGGAGCCCACAGCTCCCTCACTATCTGACAAACCACACGTTTCTGACTGTGGCCCCACATGGCTCTTTAAGGCCTCAGAGACTGCTTGCCAGGTGCCGAGCAATCCCACTGCAACCTTGTCATTTGTAGTTGCAGAGTCCCACACCTTGACTTCAGTTTGGTCCCATGTTTCAGGCTCATAAACTGTCCGATTGTTAAGAAGGAGAATAAGCTGTAAGGTTACCAGGACTTTGTTCCTAAGGACGTATGATTCCCCATAATGCACAACTTTTTACCAGTGAGAGGCAGTTGTGTGCACAGGTCCGCTTCTCTCAGCTCGAGCTTCTCTCCAGCTCCAGTGCACCTATTTCTAGCGACTTTCAGTCACTTCAGTCTCTGAGCATTTTGGTTTCCTGTCCTCCGGACCCCGTTGTGTCCCCTCCACCTGCTGTGTGTCCTCCTGCCATGGAGGATGAGGATGGCTACATGGTCTTGGACAGGCGATGCAAGCGGGGTGCTGCGGAGAGGCCGGGACCCTTCCGGGACACAGGTAGCGGGGTCCGATCCTCCGTCCCCACCACTTCTTTATGTGTTTTCACTGAGCGGTCAGCAATCCGTGTTCTTTCCAAATTACTCCATGAGCATGTACCATGCGGAATGTATATTTAGAATCTGTCCAAATATTTATTTTCCTTCCTGCTGCTAGTTGCAGTGCTCACGTAAGAGCAATTATCTGTGCTTTCTGGGTGGACGTCCCAGGGGGTAATGGTTTGGACTTGATTACCTGTTGAGTGGTTGTAATGGCATACCCTGCCTTACGTTGTCCTTGTTTCACAAAGCTGCTCCCATCAGTATACCAAGAGTCGTCAGCATCTTCTAAAGATTCTTCCTTAAAATCGGGTTGATTAGAATACACAGTGTCCATTGTTTCTATACAATCATGGGTTATGGGTTCATCCAGAGTTCCACTAAGGAAAGAAGCTGGATTTACGATGTTAGTGACCACAGTTTCCACATCATCTTGTTCTACTAATATTGCTTGATATTTTAAAATCATCAATTCTTGTTTAAGTTGTTTAAAGACTTTTTGTGCTTCTCCAGTCCAGACTAACTTTGACTGGTTAATCGTTATCAAATCACATAGAGGCTTTACCAATACTCCATAATTATAAATCCAAAGGCGACACCAACCTGTCATTCCTAAAAAGGTTTGTAGCTCCTTTACCGTTTGAGGTTCTGAGGTCCGGCAAATGACTTCCTTATATTCAGTTCCTAGTTGTCGTTGTCCTCCTGAAATTTCAAATCCCAGATAGGTCACCCTTTGTTGAGCCAGCTGGACTTTCTGTCAAGAGACTTGATATCCATTTAAACCCAGAAAATTAAGAAGACTTAGAGTCCATTGAATGCAACTCCCTTTAGTCTCGGTAGCTATTAAGAGATCATCTACATATTGTGACAAAGCACCTTCAGTGTCCGGAGGCATCCAAGTTTTGAGTTCCCTTGCTAATTGGTTTCCAAAAGTAGTGGGGCTATTCTTGAATCCTTGAGGCAGTGCTGTCCACGTAAGCTGCGTCTTTCTGCCTGAATTGGGATTTTCCCATTCAAAGGCAAATAGGTTTTGGCTTTCTGTGGCTAAGGTTAGGCAGAAGAAGGCATCTTTTAAAT